ATGGATTTTCATAATCACATGGACATAAGCAATCTGTTGCCAATTTCTACAATTTTCAGATAATGGCAACTTAACTATTCTTTCAGCTGCTTCAGAAATCAGCATGGATTTTCATTATCACATGGACATAAGCAATCTGTTACCAGAGACTTGCTGCAATCCTGCCCACAGATTAGAAGCCGCGTATACTTGTTCCTTGATTTTAGAATTCTTGTTGACTTCAGATTCTCTTTCTTCCAACTGCCTGTTTTTAGGAGAGATAATGGCAACTTAACTATTCTTTCAGCTGCTTCAGAAATCAGCATGGATTTTCATTATCACATGGACATAAGCAATCTGTTACCAGAGACTTGCTGCAATCCTGCCCACAGATTAGAAGCCGCGTATACTTGTTCCTTGATTTTAGAATTCTTGTTGACTTCAGATTCGCTTTCTTCCAACTGCCTGTTTTTAGGAGAATATATTTCTGTGGACACACATATGTCAGCACAGGGTTCCCAGCATTCATGCCATGCCTCATTGGATGAAACTGAACAACAACACAGACCTTTAAATTCACTAGTTTTTTTTAAGAAGTGTGTTGTTGAAAAGAGTCATCAAGAATGAGGGGCCTCAAGCAGAAGGGGGTCTTCATGTCTGTTTTATCCCCTCACAATTCCTTAATGCTTTACTTAAAGCAAAATACATTTCTCAGTGAGACCTGTGAATTTGGCCAGGTTCTGTTTCAGACCCAGATGTGACTTATATATGTGGAGCAGTGTAGCTAAAGGCACACCTTTGTGACTCAGTGACATAGATACATGTGCCAAGATTGGATTTAAAGAGCTCACTGAAAGAGGAAGCAGCCAGCTTACAGAAATCATTTGGAGCCAGAACATAAAAAGCTTGGCCTTGTGGTTGCTCTGGCTGCATAGGAGAGAAGAACATTTTCTTCCATTCTGCTGTCTCCGTGACATATGCTTAATGTATCTATCACACATCCATGCACATACCAACAAGTACTTTCTTATTCTCTCTGCACACACATGCCGTAGCAAGAGGTAAGCACGTGACATTTCAACACTACACACACAGGGCATTTATGAAAAACCTTGTCCACAACAATGGAACAAGAAAGACTTTTATGATATATCCATGATAGGAGAGGTGGTGGATGCTCTTTCATTTGGAAGTTTTTAAACAAAGGCCAAATGGCCATCTATCAGGGATGGTTTAGCTGTGGATTTCCTGTTTCAGCAAGGGCTCTGTAAGGAGGGAGGGATGGTTTAGCTGTGGATTTCCTGTTTGTGCAAGGGCTGTGTAAGGAGGAAGAAACTGCTACAGAGAATCAAATGAAGTATCTTACAAGGAAGACTCAATATTCCTTAGTGATAAGCTGCTCTGCGCATGGATAACTGCTTTGCTGAAATGCGAAAAATTCTAATCAATTAGCATATATTTCTCAGAGACCAATAAACTGCTGCATAATTTTTTCTGTTTTAAGAACTGTATAAAAACTTGAAACCTGTTGAACTCAGGGTCCCACCTTACCGGGCACCCGCATGCACACTTGTTTTACCTGAATAAACCTGTTGCCCTTTCCTCCAAGAAACTGTTCATTTATTATTATTGCTTGAGACTTGGCTTAATAGAATTCGCAAAGACACCAAGCTCCGGGAGTAACAGTTTGGATTTGGTGGCCCTTGAAATCCCATTTAGGGAGGGATAGTGTGATTGCCCATTAGGTTCTTTAGAGGGTATCTCTGAAGGACTACCACTCCCAGGAAGCCTTATGTCTTCCAGAGAACACCTGGACAGTTAACTTGTTTTTTGAAAAAAGAACCAAACCACCAGAGGCACCCATAGAGGTAGGAAAACCTGGTCTGTAGACTACTCACAAAATTCTGCCTAGAGAATTCTTGGCATATTCTGGTAGTGGAATCCAAAAACCCAAAAGTCCTTTCCCTAGAAAGTACCACTGGAAGGGGTGAATGCAGAGGCAGGAGTCTGAGAGCAGTTCTGTGGTAGCAACCATGAATGAGATCAAGTAAAGCCTCAATATGTCGTGCCCTGACAAAAGGTGTGGCAGGATTGGTGGGAAACCTAGAGTCATGGAAGAAGGACTGGCATCACTATTGAAGATGTCTGGACTCTCTTGAAGACAGATTTGGCAGATGAAAGTGTGAAATGGTCAAGATGACTGTCTCTATATGTGAGAGTGAGGAAGCTGTCGTGCCTGCCAATATGAGATGAGAAATGCTTATTGCAGCCTAGCAGAGGGGGGTGGACTGAAATGAGAAGTTGATGTGACTGTCATCTTTATCCTTGAACTTTTCTCGCAGAGAGATTGGGAAGCCTTCCAGTTCTGCATGGGGCCGACAGGGGTACCAGATTTATTAATGGCCTGGTCTTGATGCCAGGTTCCTCTCATCTGGAGGGAAGCAGTGGAGTGCTACTGTAGGTGATACCAATGGGCAGGGCAATACCATAGTTATTCTATGGAGGGAAGAGACCTTGAAACAGATGTCAGAGAGTGGAGGAGCATGTGTTTGGGTCACATACTCAAAAGCCTGGAATATCTTTTCCCAGGTGGAAGCTTTGAGGCAAAGTTCCCTGATCTTGAGAGCTGGCTTAGAGGGGTTTTGACAGTGGCAGCACTTTTTAACCACAAGCAGAAAAGGCACTGAGACTGCCTGTTGGTTTATGGGGTTTTAGTTCCACATTCAGTATAATTCTTTGAAAAGGGCCCTTCTAGCGAACAGCCCTGCCCTCACCTGCCCATCACAGCTGAACAGTGCAGAAGGAGCCAATGAGAGGACGGAAGGTGGAGCCAAGGGGGGGGTAGGGCTGGATATAAAGGCTGGTGTATGGAGTATGAGGAGAGATTCTGGTAGAGAGAGAGACTGTGTGAAACTTAAAAGTGAACTAAGAGTGAGTTAGAGACCTGTAAGAATGATGAATGGATCTTAAAAGTGAACTAAGAGTGAGAGATCTATAAGAACGATGAATGGATTAGAGTTAAAAGAGGTTTAAAGTTATAGCAGTTTTGATTCAAATACAAGTGATTAGCAACCTGTGATCTACCTATTAATCATATATTAACTTCCCTGATCTAATACATGACTTAAGTTTTAAAAGCACACATGTCTCGATGATTAAATGGTATTAAAGCAGTAATACCTGGTGGCAGCAAAGAAAGAAGAAGAGTGAGAACCTCGTGAAGACCTGGGGGAATAGGGGTTTCAGAGGAAATCGCCACAGTCCTATAGATCACAAAATGGATAGGGGCTTCAGAGGAAATCGCCACAGCCATTTAGGTCACAAAATGAAACTGAGAGAAACAAGAGTTAGCAAACACTGTGATGGATCAAAGGAGCTGAGGGGAAAGATGAGAGACCTGCTGCTTCGTACACAGCATGAGTGTGGGGCTCCTACTAAAGCAGCCTAGCTCAGCTCTAGAAGCTTCCAGACTACTCTGTGCAGGACGTATGAGTCATAAAGCCACAAAGATGAAAGTTATTTTGTACATGTGCAAATGTTGCTTTGAATAGTATGTGTAGTGTTGTGTGGCATACTCAAAATAATATGAAGGAGACATAATAAAAGTGTAGACACATACTATAGGATCAAATCACATTGATCTGGCTAGTAATCAATCTTAGCTTTCTTATTAGGATTCTGTGGTTTAATATTATCAGCATTATAATGGGTTTTGCCTCCTGCATCTCTCTCCTTCCCTCCTTTCTCCAGACATGTCCACTTGCAAAATTTGTTTGAAATTTTATATAAAGCTCTGAGCAGCTCATGCATGCAACACTTATTGACTTCTGTTTTTCACTAACATTCATTGACCTTTTAGGTCAATAAATGTAAAGTTGATTTAAGAAGTCAATATGCCTTATTTTAATTTAGAGGGAATTTTTGTCTGATTCAGCATTCTTTCTTTGTCTTTTTATAAATAAAAATGCACATGTCAATTTATTATTAAAATTTATGTCAAATATAAAATGTTTTTCTGTAGTACTGGAAATCCCAGTTGCGTTATTACTTCTAAAGCTTTTCCAACTCTGTGATTTGAAAATGACTTCCCTGTGCCCTGCTAGGTATCATGCCCCTTTCAGATCCCTCTTTAGCCACTGCACAAAAGATATAAAAAGCATCAAATTGACCAGGTTGTGTTTTTCAAATGCTGTTTATAGATCACGTGGCATATCTGTTTTGCTTTAATAATAATCATCACACCTGTTTTCTAATTTCATAAGATAAATCCAATTATATGTTTTGTTTCCATTTGTTTTGTGTCTACCCCTTGGAGACTTCATTGAGATTTCATAAACTGTTGAACCCAGAAGAATATATTCAGTGCTGAGCATTTCCTCATACCAGTGTGGAATCCAGCCTGTGGAGGGAGCATGATCTCCTCTCCTCTCCTCTCTGCAGTCTAGGAAAACAAATGAGGATTGATCTTTTTACGTTTTTAGAAACTGTATGCACTAGGACCAGGACTGCAATACACATGTTTGGGGATCAGGAAGAGTTTGGATTCTTGGTTCAAAGCCTTTCTTAACCTTATCAGTGGTACCATCCCCATCCCCCCTTCGTGTCTGCTGATGTTTGATCACTAGGGGCCACAAAAGTTTCCTCAGGGTTGGGAATGAATGTCCAGAGTTGCATTTTCTCTTTGACCATTGATCTATCTCTCTGTCTCCAGTCTCCAGCAAGACCAAAACTTTGGCCTCTGGTGTGTCCTCCCAGAGATAATAGGATGGTTAAAGCCTAAATCCAGTAATATTTTGCTTAAGAAGAGTTGAAAATCCCTTCCATATAGTGAGCAGAAAGAGTGATTAGTAGAGTTTGATTAATGGAGAACAGTTATGAGGGATTCTCTTTGTATGAACTTTTCCTTTTACTGATTACTGTGCTTGACAAAGTTCAGACAGAAATACAGATAATGTGGAATTTTTTTTGCAATGTTGTGTTTGTTTCACCAGGAAACTAATAATAGTTTTATTTTCCTTTAGGCATTGATTTCAAAGTTAAGACAATTTCATTAAATGATACTACCATGAAACTTCAAATATGGTAAGCATCCCCTTTGTCTCTTCATTATTTAATGTTATTGTTTCTTAAAGTCTCTGTGTGGCTAAACTTCTATTTTATAGCACCAGTAATAAAGGTAAAGATTCCCCTTGACAATTTTTGTCCAGTCGTGTTCGACTCTAGGGGGCGGTGCTCATACCTGTTTCCAAGCCATAGAGCCAGCGTTTTGTCCGAAGACAATCTTCCGTGGTCACATGGCCAGTGCGACTTAGACATGGAACGCTGTTACCTTCCCACCGAGGTGGTCCCTATTGATCTACTCGCATTTGCATGCTTTCGAACTGCTAGGTTGGCGGGAGCTGGGACAAGCGATGGGCACTCACTCCGTCAAGTGGATTCGACCTTACGACTGCTGGTCTTCTGACCTTGCAGCACAGGCTTCTGCGGTTTAGCCCACAGCGCCACCACGTCCCTGCACCAGTAATAGCAGATGATAAATAGGCTGGGTTACCAATTGAAGTAGGTAAAGGGTAATTTTAGAAAGATGTGATGGCCTGGGGATATTAGAAGGAAGCAGTATCTTAGGATGGTACTAGAAGTAACTTACTCTATCAACCAGTCAGTGCAGCTAATCCTTGCCTTGTGTTTTAGGGACACTGCTGGTCAAGAACGATTCCATACCTTTACTACTAGCTTTTTCCGTGGAGCTCATGGATTTGTTCTTGTCTATGATATCACAAACCCAGAGAGTTTTCAGGGAATTGCACATTGGATGAAAGATATACATGAGGTAAGCTTATAAAACTCTATCTGTATACTAATTGTCTACTGCATTCACAGGAACCTTTGAACTCCTTCACTTGTCACTTAAGCTCAATCAGAGCAAAGTCGCTTTTTTTTGCACACTCGGCTTCTAATATTGAGCCCACCACAACTTTTCCACAGTCTGCTCCTCCTTGCTTATTCCTGTTTCTCGTGCAAAATGCTGTGCCTTTTCACAGCGAGGCATGGACATGATATGGCTGGGCAATATTCTTAGTCTGTCTCTCTTCTCTTCGGTCATTCCTGGGCTGGCAGTCCTGGAAATGCAGTTTTCCTTCCAGGATCACCTTCATCTCAGGTTCTGTTCAACAAAGTGTTTGACCTAACTCCATCATAACACAACTAGAGGGTTACAGGATTGTGCGAATGATTGGTCAAACAGTTGGGCACCACGTGGTGCATATGGTTGTGCAACCTCTTATAAAACTAGTTATATAATCCCTGTAATTTTCCTAATTACATGTTGGTTGAAACAAATCATTCCAGATATGTTAGCATGCAGCAAATAAAGTTTGTTTGTTTGTTTGTTTCTTGTCTTTGTAAATATATACACAGTATACCCATACAATGAAATTCACAGACACCAAGAGACCAGACACATGCACACACATAAAATTCCCCAAACACTCCCCACCCACTAAAAAATCCCCCAACACTCCCCACCCACTAAAAGTCCACACTAAAAATACAAACGTCTACACCGCAGGCCAAGTAACACAGTCCAACTAACTATTCACTACTGGTGGTCTTTAACCTCATTATTAAGTGCAATTATAGCTCTGGGATAAAAACTATTCAGAAAACGTGTTGTCTAAAAGGTTTAGCCACACAGAGTCATTTTAAGAACATTTGAATTGTTACTTTTTTGGATACATGGGTTAATCTTTTTAAGGAACTAGTTGCAGTTTGTTAATGTAAAGCTACATTCAGATATGGTGATATCCTATGGATACAATCAAAATGGATCTCATAGATGTGATAGGATTCAGCTGTTAGCTTTGCAGATGCTCTGCATGACTTCAAAGGCTAAAGAAATGTCTTTGGGAAGTGCATAAGCAGAGTAGGCCTGTGCCTAGTGGAATTACTTGTACTTTTCCAATAGCAAATAATAACCAGTGAAATAATTTTCTTTTGAAAAGTAATGCCAGCACATTAGTTGCAATTCCAGACTCTGCAGTGACTGGTATACAGTGGACCCTCTACTTACGGAATTAATCCGTATTGGAACACTGGGTGCAGGTCGAAAAGTCTGTAGGTCAAGTCTCCATTGACCTACAATGCATTGAAAACCGATTAATCCCATAACCGACCATTTTTGTTCCATTTTAGCTTTTTTTTCTAGTCTGTAGGTCGATTCTCCAGCTGCAAGTCGAACCTAAATTTTGCAGTCAGAGAAGTCTGTAACTCGAAGAGTCTGTAAGTTGAGCCATCTGTAAGTCGAGTGTCCACTGTACAGAGGAATCCTGTCTCTGATCATAGAGGCTGATATAGCCATCAGGAATAGTTGCCACTAGCCATTTATAAGCCTTTTCCTCCACGAATTTTTAAAAACCTTGTTTTAAAGCTATCCAAATTGGTAGTATTTAACCTATTAGCTGTTGATGCCTCCATAGCACAACAGCATCTCTATAAATCTGTATTAGCCACAGTTGTAATTAGCCAGCAACTGCAATATTAAATAATAATGTAAACAAAATTGTATGCCAATTATGCTAATAATGTGCTAGGTCTGCAAATTCTGTTGTGGGGAAAACATTACTTCTCAAGGCAAGTTGAGAGAATGCTAGGGCTTTAATACTGATATAATTCTTCCTTTTCAAATGAAAGACAGTTTAATACTCTGTGCTCATAATGCTGAACACAGCAGGTTTGAAGAAGACAAACAATATGTTTTCTACAAGAAAATAACTTCAAAATAAAAGTTTATTCTCTGGATTTCATCTACAAGAGGGCAAACTTTCATTTATTTGTTTTTTAAAAACCTTATATCACATGTGTCGTCCGATGAACTCCATAGTGATAATAAGGCATTAAAATATGTAATTAAATTGAAAAATTGGTGATAAGGCAGCATCTAAAACATGCTGAGGACTAGAATATTGCTCAAATGAAAACATTTTAACCTAACACAAAGAAGGATGGTATAGTATCAAACATACTTGTAAAGACATGGTTGCACACGCTTACCCCCACCCCTAAAAGCCCCTTCTTCTTTGTTGTTGTTTAGTGCACTTCTGATAGTCCTTTTCCCTCACAAATTTAAATAGATAAATCTGATTTAAAAGGATGCATTTCAATCTATCTGTGGTCTAAAGTTGCTCTGAAGCTTAGTATGTATTTACAGAAATGAATTGTGGGGAATGATTACTTTGATAGACAAAGGCATTCTCACAAATGTGTTTACACTTTTAAATACTTTGCATATTAGAAAGAGGCACTTAATATTTGGGTAGTGGTTTACAGGAAAGTAAAGTGTTAGATCAATAAAAACCAAATCAGATGCATAAAACATTGTGTACAGTTTGGACCTTCGTATATCTCTGCTTCTTGACCGATCCATTTGAGACTCTATACATAATCAATTTTTTTGTGTACTGATGTTCATGTTATTGAACTGCTCCTCCTTGTGGCCAAAGATCTCAAAGGATCCAAACTAAGAACTGGTTATTGTTAACATGTTCAGAGCTGTACAAGCAGTTCTCTATAATGACCATAAGAGATCTGTATAAGTAACCAGCAATAGATTTCTCAGACTAACATTAATTGTTTGAAATTTGCAGAGATGACACAAGAAGAGATGCCAGTCACCATTTTAAGATTACATTTAAAACTTAAAACTATGCATCAAAACAATTTTATGGGGAAAGTTTGTTTAATCATTGTCTTCTGTGCTTTTTGTGATTAGTTTGGAAGAACAGCTATTAGTTTTCCAAAAGTGAAACAATGGCTCCTCCTTAGAGGTGTTTTTTTAGAGCGCATGCATTACCTTTTTAATCTTATGTCAAATGCTATTTAGGAAGCATGTAAATAGGTAGTGTTATCCAATTAATCTGACATGATTAAGTGTTTTCCTTGTCTATTTAGGAACTTATGAATATAATTTTATGTAGGAGAACCACTGACCTTAATGAGTAAAGCTCCAGTGCCTACTGAAACAACCAGCATTTTGGTCTATTAATCCAGGTTAGATTGATTCATTATTTCAGACTTGTACGTGGTACTCTTATAATGAGCTTACTGCATTTTAGGGACTGCATTATCCTGAACATCAGCTGCAGTTATGAAATGAGATTAGTTGAGTGGATTAAAAAGATGAAACACCGGCCCTTAATTGTAAGTCTTGCCTGCTGCTAAAATAAAGCAGTGTTGCTATGAGTGTGGATGTAGACTAGCAACAAAAACAATTCTACTGATTTTTCATGAATGAAGTTCTTGTTCCTTTTGGTCCTTTTTTGTGTGTGATGGTCTAATGCTTTATTCTTTGGTAAAAGTTCACAGACAGTGTTTTTATCCAAAGGTTGCTCGATTAAACCAAATCAAACTATTCTGACTGGACCTCTCTCTCTCTTTTCTTTCTTTCTTTTTTAAATCACTCATTTCTTGGCCAAGAATTTGCAGCCATTTTGAAGTTATGAGTGTGGACATTATTTGTTCTCTTGGAATTGGACATGATGATCAATTCAATTTTTAAGTTATTAAATTGATTGGTTCTAAAATGCCTTGTGCTAAAAGTATGGAACCAGTGTTACATGAAGTTTCTGCTTACTCTCTCTGTCTGTATCTACTCACTCCACTGAGAGTGATATATGTTGTAATTTCAAATACCACCTCAGCTTTCCAAAGCATCCTAAGGATGGAAAAACCCCATTCCATGAATGATCGTGGTTCTCGGGATTCAATGTGTTAGCTGTCACTCCGCTTCTAGTATGCACAAACTTGTAAATGCCAGAATCTGATTCAGGATTATTTGTTCCAATATAAACTTCAAGCTCGGAATTTGTTGGAGACAACATCTTTTTATAGCTGCCGAGCCTGGCTTCCTACCTTGTATTTATTATTATATATTTATTTAAAATATTTATACTATATATTTTTTTCCTCTAGAGGACTCAGATTTTGCATCCCTTACTGCTAACCTTGGTGGGATGTGGTGGCGCTGCGGGCTAAACCGCAGAAGCCTGTGCTGCAGGGTCAGAAGACCAAGCAGTCGTAAGATTGAATCCACGCGACGGAGGGAGTGCCCGTCACTTTGTCCCAGCTCCCGCCAACCTAGCGGTTCGAAAGCATGCAAATGCGAGTAGATTAATAGGGACCACCTCGGTGGGAAGGTAACGGTGTTCCGTGTCTAAGTCGCACTGGCCATGTGACCATGGAAGATTGTCTTCAGACAAAATGCTGGCTCTATGGCTTGGAAAACGGGATGAGCACCGCCCACTAGAGTCAAACACGACTGTACAAAAATTGTCAAGGGGAACCTTTAACCTTTAACCTTTTAACTGCTAACCTTTACTGCTAGCTCCTTGATATGCATGACTTTGTTAGATCTCAGTCTGTTTTGTAGATTTTGCCCTGGGCTTGTCAAGGAGCAGAACCAGCACAAATTGAACCAAACGGAGTACAAATTGCTCTGGACTTTTTTTATTACAGCAAATTTAACATGCAGAAGCTAGCTGTGTGAAATCTGACAGGTTTACTACACCCTTTTGTATCTATTATATATCAGCATTTCATGAAAATCAATGCAAAACCAAAAATTCTATAGTTCTAGTTTTTCAACATTAGTCAATGGCAGGCTTGTAAACTAACTTGGATCTGGGTCAGTAATCAAATTGGATGGGGCATGGATCATTCCAGACCAGATTATGATCCATTCCAAAGCCTGAAATTGGATTCTGAATGAAACTGGCGACATATCCCTAACCTTGATTGCTGCTTCTTGCATTTCACTGTAATGATATATATTAATGTTTGTTTTTTTCACAGAAAGCAGAAGAAAATGTAGAAATAATTCTTTTGGGTAACAAGTGTGATAAAGAGATGGATCGAGTAATCCCAAAAAACACAGGGGAGAAGGTATGCATAGATCACAGGTTCATTGTTTTATTCCTTAAGAACATGTGGGTGTACATTGTAAAAACAATTTCTGTAACAGGATCATGAACTGCATTTTTAAAAATGATATATTTTTGCAGAAGACTAGCGTGTTCCAGTAAAAGCTTAAACATGGTAAAGAACCAGCGATATGTTTAGAATATTGCTTGGCTAACTTTAGCAATTAACACTAGTTAGGGAAGCTACTTATTCTACCCTTGACACTGTGATTCTGATACTGTCCTAAGTAAAAGCAAAAAAACAATTGGACTGCTTATGTATTGTCCCATTGTGCTTAAAGCACTCTGTGGGCAGTTTTCTGTCCCAATTATGCAGGCCACACTTTGTTGTCCCAGCGAGTTGAGCACTTAGTTTACCAATCTCAGAAGAACGGAAGGCTGAGCTGGCTACCTCAGCTGTTCAGGATTGATGCAAAATTTAAAATAGAACATTTTGCTAACAGATGTAAATGCATAAACTGTACTAAAGTATTATGAAACACTTTGTCTGCATGCATCTTTTCGAGCCTTGTAAAGCAGCATTTCTTTCATAAGAAGTGGCCCATTAAGTATTGCCTTTCATTATATAATGTCCAGAGCCTCATTGAACATTTATGCATGCATAAGCTACGTGGCCATGGCTCTTCAAACCTTTCCCTCTGAGGAAGGCAAAGCCAAACCATTGTAGAAAGACACCACCATTCAGTCATGCTGCAAAGAATGGAGAGGCAAACAGAAGTTCAGGACAGCAGCACAACTCTTTGGTTTTGATTGAAAATGCCACCATAATGAAAGTCCCTGCTCATTCTCTGGTTACCTTTACAACCATGAACTCTGAAAGGTGCACCCTCACTAACGCTTATAACCCAGCAACAGTCGATACTTCAGAAAACACCTCAGTAAATCCTCACAGTCTGTGTCGCACTACAGCAGTAACAGATTCTGACAAATTCAACATTCTGGTCTCATCCAATCTACTGCAGACATTCCTGACTCTGCAACATGTAATACAACATTAAATTCAAGAGTAACTAGCCTTTACTGGCTCTCCTCCAAAACTTATTGCGACATCCAATTTGGCTAGGGTTCCAATGGAATCACAGTCTCACTCATTATGACCTGAAAGTTTAATGGGTTATTTTAGGGAACCCTGGATACTGAGCTGATTAGAAATTGCAGTCTCATCAGTCTGAGCAAAACTGGGGCTAGTCAACAAGTGGCTGAGGACTAGAGAGCACATGTTTTTCTTGAGCTACATGAATTATGCTTACAACAGCTCTTCCCCCCCCCCCCAAGCTATTAGCATGCAGATAAGAACTAGCATCATGAATGTCTGCAGTTTTCTAGAATGTAGTGGTGAATCAGAGAAAATCTCCCAGGGAGAATAAAGAAAAGTGCCTCTAATTCAGAAGAACTGTATATTATTTTGTGGAATATTGTTGGTTGGAAAAACAAATCTAGGGGCTCCAGTTTCATTTGCTTTTAAGGACAATTGATATTCTAGTATTACAAGGTATCTGGGGTTACAAACCCATTAGGGTATCTGGTTTTCAGTCTGTAATTCTGAGTGCCCTTCACAATAAATCTAGAGGCAGACTCAGTGCTGGTCCGGCATGCCTGGTCTTGTTAGCTCTGGAATGTAGCTATTATTGATCTCCCAGCTTGCAAGCATTTAGGGTTATCTGACTTAATTGAGTTTGGGAGTTTTAAACTCCTTGCATTCTGTTTATACTTGTTTCCCATGGTTCAGAAGGATAAACTCAAATTTGTTTTTTCAACACTGGAGGAATGTTTTTAACACAAGTGAACTATGCTAAAGCAAAATGGAACCCTTCATTCACTTGCAACTTTTAGGGACTCTTAAACCAACAGTATTTCACAAGAACAGACACTATCTACATTACATAATATCCAGAATTGCACTGGCATTTTATGCACACATAAGTGAAATCTCTAAGTCATAGCACTGAATTGCCACTAATTAACTAGATGCCAGTTGCATCCTTGGTCACCTGCTCATTAACAACCAAGAATGCAACTGACAGCTTGTTAATTTGTTGCAATGTGCTGCCACAGTTTGGGGACTCTTCCGAGAGCCTTGTCTTAAGGCACATTGTCAGTGAAATTCTGGACATTATGTAATGTGATCTCATAAGTTTGCTTTAGCATAGTTCACTTGTGTTAAAAACATTCCTCCAGTGTTGAAAAAACAAATTTGAGTTTATCCTTCTGAACCATGGGAAACAAGTATAAACAGAATGCAAGGCGTTTAAAACTCCCAAACTCAATTAAGTCCCTCTGTGCTGAAGAGAGAGGGTGAAAAACAGAGAGAAAATAAGCTGTAGTTCTGTTGCTTTTTCCCTTTTGAATAGTTTGTTTATTTGCTGTACATGTTGGGATGACATTTGTTGTACAGTCAGTCCTGTACCTGGGGTGGGCTCCTCAGCTCTTGAAGCTAGGATAAGCAGCTTCCAGAAGTTACTGGGCTATACAAATCAGGTATTCCTCACCGTTGACTCTACTGGCTAGGACTTATGAGAGTAGCCTACCCTTGCCTTAGTGGTTCCCAGCTGCTGATTTTAAACCATTAGAACAAGTAGAAATGACGTTTGCAATTAAACCAATCCAGAAAACAAAATTTAGTAGGTTATGGCCAATGTTTTTATTTATAAAATGAAAACTCTGTCTATATAATTCTCATTTCATATAAACAGTTTTTCTTCAGATCCCCATTTCCTAATTCCTAAAGAGGAGGTCTACAAAATGTATTGAAAAAAAATTAGGAGTTCCTTCTCATGTTTAGGCTTATTAAATAAAGCCATAACTTATTTGTTCACAAAGACTCCTGCTGAATAGCACACCTAACTTACAGTGCAAGCCTGTACATGTTTACATTGTGGTCACACCCATTGACTACAATGGGGCTTACCTGCATATTCATACTGAGGAGGCAGCTTCTTTTGGACTGTGTACAAAAGCAGTATTTTGACTTCGAGATTTTCATCAATTACACCCTTACTGCTGCAGTTCCCCACACCCACGTTAGTCTGTTCAGGAGAGATCCCTAATTGTTAATGCATGGGTTTTTTGCAGGATTGCAAATGGAATGAGAAAGCTGTGTTCTATGAACAAAACTCCATTCCATCCATGTAAGGGAAAAGCAGGAGGCACAGAAGGCCCTTACTTAGCAATTACTCCAAGCTTTCACAATGAGAGAGGGCAGCAAGTCAATCATCTGAAGCCTATCAGATATCATTTCTTTGAAGGCAACTGTTCCAAATTTCAGTACAGTGGTGCCTTGCAAGACAAATGCCTCGCAGGACGAAAAACCCACAAGACAAATGGTTTTGGCGATGGGGTTGATGACTCGCAAGACGAATATTCCTATGGCCATTTTTCGCAAGACAAATGTTTTCAGGGGTTTTTGTTTGTGTTGTTTAAATCTCAACCGTTAATACCCAGGATGCATTGTGCATTGTGCCAGGAGATTTAAAAAGCCTCCCCAATGCAGCCTGGGTTCACTTTTCCATATGCAGTTCCAAGGTTGACTTCAAGGGGAGCAACTGTGGTCTGTGTTGTGGGTGCATCCTGTGTTTGGTGTAGTCTGTGTTGTGGAGGCATCCTGTCTTTGGAGAAGTTGGTGTGGTCTGTGTGGATGCACACTGTCTTTGGAGAAATTGAATGTTTTCAGAACTTTTGGGCCAGCAAAAGGTAGGGTGTGCTTTGTTCTTCCGTGTTGGTGGGGGGGTGTTAAGCCAATTTTATTTTATTTTATTTTTGGTAAGTTGCAGAGGAAAGGTATGGGGCTTAGCTTGTGCTGGGGGTATTATGCCAATTGTATTTTATTTTTTTGGTAAGTTGCATGGAAAAGGTAGGGGCTTAGCTTGTGCTGGGGGGTTTTATGCCTTTTTTTGTAAGTTGCACAGGAAAGGTAGGAAGGATAACTTGTGCTGTGGGGTGTTATGCCACTTGTTTGTCCAGGGCAATTTTGGCCAGGGGTCAGAAGGTGTGTGGGAACGGGTGTGGGAAGTGGATATGAAGCACTGCCTTTTGTTTTTGTGAACGTATCAGCTGTGCTGATACAGGCCCCAAGAATGCTGTTTCTGCAGAGGCCTGGAAGATGACAAAGGAGAAGATTACTCTAGAGATGAAGAAGGAGATAATCAGGAAACACGATGGAGGCATGCGAGTGATAGACCTCGCCAGGGAATACCGGAGGAATCCATCCACCATTGGTACCATCCTTAAGATGAGGGAGAAGATCCTTGCAACAAATGTAACCAAGGGAGTCGCCAGGATCGTGAAGAACCGGCCAGCTGTTCTGGAGGAGGTGGAGAAGTTGCTGCTTATCTGGATGCAAGAGAAGCAGCATTCAGGGGACACAGTGACTGAGGATGTCATTTGTGAGAAGGCCAAGGCCTTGTATGCAGACCTTGTGCAGCAAGAGCCAGGAACCTCAGCTGAGCCAGAAGACTTCAAGGCAAGAAGGGGCTGGTTTGAACACTTCAAAACCAGATCTGGAATCCACAGCGTGGTCAGGCATGGAGAGGCTGCCAGTTCCAATGTTCCTGCAGCTGAGAACTTTGCCATGGAGTTCCTGGAGGTCATGACAACACAGGGCTACCTTCCACAGCAGGTCTTAATTCTACTTGGCACAACCTGTGGCCAGACTGTGTGGCAACAAGTGACTCTGATGTTTCTGCACCTGCACCAGAGTCAACAGTGATGGAGGACATTGTTGCCTTGGAGAGGACCATGGGCCTTGAGGTCACAGAGGAGGACATCTGTGAACTGGTGGAGGGCCACAACCTGGAGCTGTCCATCCAGGAGCTGGTTGAACTGTAGGCAGAGGCTATGGAGGAGTAGGCCTCTTTGGAAGAAGAGACAGGTGAGGAAGAGCTGTCCACCACTAAACTGAAGGAGCTCTTAGAACAGTGGCAAAACGTGCAGACTCAAGCACAGCGGTACCACCCAAACAAGGCT